TGACACATAGGCAGGGCAAAAAAGGAAGCAAACCATTTATAAATATGCATGCTTGTGTCGCAAAAAATGAAGCAATTAAGCAAGAACAAGGAATCATTTATAATTCGTACGTTAAACTAAATAAATTTTGTCTAGCAGGATAAGCACAATATAACAATTGATAATACGATTGTTGAGCAAGAGAGATAACAGAAAAGTAAACACAGTAGAATAATTTATAATATGTAGGTACATTACCTTATAAAGATTATAAATACTCAGATTTTTGTATCAGGAATGACATAATATTCATTGATAAATATAAAACAATCATTCGTAATTAATACGTTAAGTAAAATAAATAAATATGCATGCATGTCTAGCAGGATAAACGCGACAGATAAACATAAACATCATTCAAAATTCGTACATTAAACAAAATAAACAGATACGATTGCTTTTTTAGCAGGACAAACAAAACAGACCATTAAGAAGTACGTTAAGCAGGAAAATGAATAAAATGCTGAGTGTGATGATTAAAATATTTGCCTCTATTGAGGGCAAACGAAAAAGCTTCGATAGAAATATACACGTAAAAACTATAAAATGAGGTGGTTAGTAGCCATGTCGATTTTCGAGTCATGCGCGAAACAAATTCTTATTTCCTTTACTGGAAAATGGTCGTTAAATGTGTCCGCTTCAAAATCATGTGCGACATACAATAATGAAACAATTATAAACAACCAAAGCGGGAATTAACGACAATAGACGTTTATTTACTCGAGCACAAGAAAACAATTGTTCGGGCCATCAGCGAGTCTATGTTACCTACTAATAGTTAATACTAGTAACGACATGGACAATCGCAATTATCGCAAGCGTGTTAATTGCTCGTGTATAACGACTTCTTAAAATTCTCAGGCATTTATTTAAATCTGCGCGACGAACGCAGCTGCATTTTCCGCACAGCAAATAAGTGCCTATAAAATAAACTGTATTTTGAAACGCTTTTCACAATAAATTTGCCATTGCAGTCAGTGCTGTACCATAGGTACGCGCATAAGCATAATAAAGTGTTTTGTTTGGGTCTTCAGCATAAAATAAGTGTTTCATTAGAAAGAAAACAAGAGGTAATATAAAATAACCATTTTTAACAATTCATTCATAAAATTTTACTCCGCTGAAACGTGTATTATAATTTTGCTTCAGGCCTTTTTTGTACTACTGCCAAAAAATCGGTTAAACAAAAATTGTGTACTGTTTTACGGAATGAATATACATAATTGCAACATTTAAAAAGATATTTGGAAGGCACTTTCTGTGTATTAGCATTCATTTTATCACTGGGTATCATCAGGATTTCTAAATTGATTTTTTGTTACATATCGGGTGGAAACTAGACTTTGTTATTTTTTTGAAACTTTCAAAACCTTTAAAACATTTTTTTTCGTAGTTTACGAAGAACACATACTGAAACTAAAACACTGTCAACAGTTTTGAAACTAATTTACCTCTTTCTAAACTTTTCCAAATATTGTAAATTATATCAGTGTGTATTTTTCGCTGGGTTTTTTGAAGGTTTATTTTTTGATTTATTTTCGTTGATCCTAAACCTGGAAAACCTGTTTGAGCTTTTCTAAAATCAAATATAAATGTGCTACGCGTCCAGCAATTTTAGACATATGGTCATTTGCGTATTTATTTGGTTCCCTTTATTTTGGAATTGAATTTCTATGCCCACGACACACATACATAACTCTTGTTGATGTTTAGGTTTGAAAAGACTTAAAATTATCAAAAGTTATAAACGCCAAATTAACAAAATTAATTAGAAACTGGTAAAGAGACTAGAAATCTTTTATTTAAAAAAAAAAAAGACTGTCACTTAATTGTAATTAGCGGTGTGTTTTTTACATTCCTGTATAGCAAACATTGAACAATTTAAAAAACTTCTGTGACTAGTTTTGCAAACTACATGTTTTGAGTTTGGAGCAGTTCATTTGCAAGCCTGCTATGATATATCTCTCGAGTAATTCTGTGTAAGTTATTTGAAACATACAATATTACAGACTTGAAAAATATTTAAGCCTAATAATAAATTTACTTTTATGATTACGGATCTGAAAAGAAAAGCAATCTTGAAAAATGGTAGACATTTGAATATTTTGCATAAAGAACGACAGAAATGAAATTCAAACCTCTATTGGATTTTGAACCGTTTCGTAAATTATATGCAAATTTCAAAATAAAATTTTGCACTTTTTCAGTTTTTTTTTTTCTGAACGACAGTAAACTGTGAAACAATAATTAATATGCGAGAGTTCCAGAGTATCGCAAAGTTCCAGTCAGCAAAAACAGAAGCAGAGAACTTTTGTAAATAGTATTACAGTAGCCTGTTTAATTTTCTTTGAAAAATTTACAACATTTTCATTCTCCGACAATTTAGATATATGACATAGAATTCTAGTCTCAGGTTTTTGATGACTGGAATATAAAACCTCATCGAGTTTACCAATATCGTAAAACATGCAAAATATATTCCTATAATTTTTTCTCCGAAAATACATCACAAATGCAGTTTTAAAAGAGACACTTCTCAATGATTTTAAAAAAATCTTTGGGCCATTTCTGCTCTTCTCACTTTCTCCTTTCCTAATATCCCTGCGCTGGTCGGTACACAGTTATCAAAAGTTAGTTGATGCAGATAGCCAATCTGCCAAAAGTAAGAGGAGGGTCGCGTAAGAGGTTTAAAAAAAAAGGATTCATCAAAAATCGTACTATCTATTTGAGTTAGAATTGAAAAAGTTTGCACACGAGTTTCTAGTAATTGATATAATTTTGATTTTTCTGTTTTGTTGATACTTGCGTCAAGATGCGTCAAGTGACAATGGGACGGGGGCCACTGGTACACTAAAATGGATAATAAAAAAGCTTGAAGTAGTGATGCTCCAGGTGCCTATTTAAAAGGATATGGTTTGATTTAAACTGCCCTCGCCCAACATGAGCCAAGTTTTCTTTGAATATACTGAGGCTAATTTGAATAAAGGAAGGGGAAGTGAAAAAACTTTTAACATTGGCGAGAGTATGAAACCGTTATGAACCGTGATTTTGAGTATACTATTTTTTTTTTAATAAAGTGTCGTGTTGGTCGTGCTGTACAAACTGTGAAGTTAATCAATGGCAACCTCTATATGAATAAGGATCGTGTGATTCAGAAAAATTGCAGAAAATCGCCTATGCACGTCTTTTACACACCGATTTATCTGCATGGACATATTTAAAATGAGGGACATTTTTTTCTATACCACTTAATAAACCGATTTTGCGCTCGTGACTTACGAGTTTCGCATTATTTATACTTAGAAAACGACAACGTTAATCTGAATGTTACAATATTCGGATGTTATCCGTGCAAGGCAAATTTCGAAAAATTATTCCCTTTAACATTCCGCCGATCAAAAAAAAAATCATTAACGATACATTAATAACGCTGCGTTGCCTGTACGCAGGCGTTATACGGGGCCCATTCTTCATTACGATCATTAATACCAGAGAACTTTTTTTTTACTCTCTCTTTTGTAGTTCTATAATTATCAATTAGTAAAGTAAATGTATTTATGATCATTGGATTTGTTTTAGCTATTGGTCATAATATATATATATAGTTTCCCAGGGAATGATATTGCGTATAATTAATATGAGAGACGGTTAAACATCTGTATCTTTCGTTCCTTCATTGGTGGTTATTTTCATTCCGATTAATTGTGTACATAAGTCATTAGTTTTTTTACGACGGGCGAGGAATCGGAATTTATTGTTACGTTTAAAAACTACCCGGTGTTCAAAATTTGCCAAAAAAGTACGTCGAGATTAATATTTTTTAATTTTGGTTAATCGACAGCAATATACAGTGGAAATTAAAAAAATATTTTTGCACACGGCTGTTCGTCTAATAATCCTTTTTGCCTTTCATTGTTATCGGCGCGAAAAAGTAAAAAAAAGAATAAAATTTTGCTATACCAAAGCACTAAAATTAAAATTTTCTCATTAATTGATATCGATCAACATATTACCTTACCGCCCACGTGCGATCGTATTTTTACCTCGAGCAAATCTCGTTTACCTTAAAAACAAGCTGGAATTCAGAACGTAAGTAGTAAGTTTGGCCGAAATTTCTAATGCCTTATATCAAACTTGATAAATTTTTTAAAACCTAAATAAAAAACTAATCAAAATTAAATAATAAATAATAATAGACATTCTAGCAAAGTAATGTACAAAAAAAGCCATAGAGTACATTTTAGTCAACAAATAATCTGAACTTTTCAAATTTGGTATCAATTAAAACAAAATGCTGCTTAAATTCATTTTTGGGACTAAAGTTTGTATCCCATTGATAATTATAATGATAAACTCATAATAAAATATTAAGTCTATAATGTTCCATAAATTCTGGATGCTTTTGTGATGTAAATGATTTGTATTATTGTGAAAGTTGAGCAGGAATGTAATTGATAGTCTGAGCTTCTTTGAGGTTTGTTCCGATGCATCCTAAAGAGCATCAGACAAGACACATTGGCGTAAATAATTGAAAAACAAGACATAACACACTGACTGTTAAAAACAGAAAATCTTGCTAGTTTCTAGTAATAAATAAATAGAATAACCAAGTAAATAACACCCTACTAACAAAACTAAAGAATATAAAAACATCCGCATATAATTTAGCTTTTGTAAAACTGTAAATTTAATGTTGCTAGTTCTAAATCGAATCCCATTCACATAATTAATTAACCATGAAAGTAAATCGTTAGGAAATTCTTGCGAGCAAATAACCAATTCGATTGTTGTAGCAGATTTTATTATTTAATAATTTTTATTCCATGTTTATTAAGTTAAAACACGTAACTAATTGTTCTAAGTTAGAGCAGGTACCACCCAGTACTACTTGGCGTGTATTTCGACCATATTGTATGGCGAATCTGCTGCGAAAAATAATAAATTTGTGTTATTTGTTGCAGCCTTTAAATGCCACGACGTTGGATTGCATCAAACACCAACACCCAATATAGGATTCTCTAAGGTGAGTTTCCCATTGAATAATTATTCCTAGTCCCTCTTGTTCTTAACTATATTAATGGCTTCGGATACGTTTCATTACGGTTTCAATAGTAAACCATTGCACGGTACTTAGTCATTACAACATAGAATTATCGCATTATCTTCATAACTCTATCGTTTATACAGGGCTATTCGGGCAAACCGTTGATTAAATGTTTACTGGAATGCTAGTTAAGAGTAAAGTAAAAGTAAAGTAAACAAGATGTATAAATACTAAATAATGGAATCGGTATACTTCCTGTGTAAAGCCTCAAATTATAAATTATAATATTACGGGATTCTATTCTCATTTTACTAGCGATTTATTTCATGAATTTGACAGCGACACAAAAAACAATTCGAATAATACTAGCGACAAAATATCAAAATAAATAAGAACTAAAAGTTCAGATTTTCACGAAATTATATATTTTGACATGACAATGTTTCGTCTTTATCAAATGTAGTATTTACAAACTACCTGCTACTGCGGTGTACTGTTTTATTTATGATATGAAGAAATGATTTATCAATTCACCGCCATTTTTGCTGCATAGCAATAACAGCTGCTTGTGTGTTCTCAACACATTTAAGAAAGAAATTAAAAATTGAACTGAGGTGGCTTTTACTTGATGAAAATCCATTTAACAAAATAAATAAAAACTTTTTTCCGATTTTCCTGAAATTATATATTTTCGACAACACCGTGTCTTTATCAAATGTAATATTTACAAACTACCTGCTACTATATATACCGAAAAATGACCAAAAAGCCTTAATTCATGTTGTTGTGAGAATTTAAGTTCAATAACGGAGATGTATTTAAATCTAATTGATCGTTAAGCCATACATTTGAATGTCTCATTTTGTTAATCTCCATGGCTTCCAATAAATTTAATTTTCTACGTTTTGTGGCTGTATGTAAAATATCAAAATTGTCTACAAAAATGTGTTTATCTGTGTTTAAGTGTGTAGCATAATTAGAATCTAGACTATTGTTTTTAAACGCTCTTTTATGTTCGTTAATGCATTTCTTGAAGGCTCTACCTGGTTGTCCAATATAAATTTTAGGACAAGATCCGCATTTCAACCTGTAGACACCTGATTTTTGAGATTTTGGACATTTCGTTTTATTGTTTTTTAAAAATTTTCCTATTGTATTGTTAGTTCTGAAAGTTATTTTTAAACCACATTTTGATAGATATTTTGAAACTTCTTCAGTAGGTTCTCCTATGTATGCAATTGTTTTAAATTGTTCATGTTCTGTATTAGGTTTCGGATAAATAGAGTTTAATGTTGTCTGTCCGTTCCAACAAAGCAAGTAAAGACATCATCCACGTACCTATACCACCATAGAAAACTTTTACCTAAAGGATGTTCTAGTATGATATAAACAAAATAAAATATTAAGGAAAGTTACCATATTTTGTAAACAAATGAGCGATAATAACTGGCAACTTAATACCGTGTGAACGAAGACCAGGAGGATCGCCGAAAATATGAATTTATGAAGGCGTACTTTTAGAAAAATAAAACAAATATCATGCGAGAATGGTTCAATAATGTGTTACAAACACGCACATTGGTAATTGTTTCATTTAAAAAACTATAACCGGGAGATTTCCCACGATGTTCCACTCTTATGTGGATGCTGCGATTCTTCTGACAAATACCAATTACATTATAACCGCCTGCAATGGCTGAATCTATATGCATAATTTGCTCGAGGGTCAATTTTTTCAACTCGAAAATAAGCTGCCGGTAACTGAAGACGGTATAACACGAAATATCAGATTGGCATCGACAGTATCATCTAAATCAAGATTGCCTATCTTTAGGATAAGTACCGATGAGATTAAGTTAAGAGGAAAATTGTTTTATAGCTTCGCCAATGCATATTGAGGCACCACATAATACCTATCATACATGGGTTATCTTATCTTGTTTATTTAGTGAAAAAAGTTTAACGGACAACTATTAATCTTGCCGACAACTCGACTGGAACGGAGTCCAAGTAAAACATACGATGCAATGGAACAAATTTCATGAATATGAAAATTTAAATCACGCATTAAGTCCGACAAAACATACTTTCCTCACCACACCGCACCAGAATCATTAAATACTTATACGATCCCTCAATCAATTAATATAAATAAATACATCAATAATAATGGGAAAAGTAAAACCTCTATTGAAGTCATTTGAGGAAAACAATGTAGAGAACTATAGACCAAATTTTTTCGGGAAGACACTAAAAAATAGAATAATGAGTTTCTTTTGAAAAATTTAATGTCTTATCATACGCTCAATATGGATTTAGAGATGGAGAATCGACACAAAAATAACAGATCCTCTTGAGAGCAACTAACGCAGTCTTTGCGTGTTTGTTGGTCTCTTTGAAGCGTTTAATACCATTTCAGATAAATTTTTCTTGTCAAAACTGGAAAAGCATGATTTAAGGGAGAGGGAAAAAGTTCTAGAGCTTTGCGAAAGATAAATAATTATGTTGACATTGATGATGCCATTAGTAACAGAAAAGAAAGAGTGTATAAATTTTATTGTATAAATAAATGACTTGTTAGAACTAAAAACTATTACTAAAATAATAAGCTTGGAAGGAATAAAAAAGTACAGCTGAAAAAGATTTCAACTTCATAAAATCCTGGTTTCAAATAAACAATTGTAAAAAAAAATATACTCGCCCTTTGCAATCTACAACAATCATTTGCCAAACTCTGGCCCTTAACAATAAACAATATAGAAAAATTACGGAAACAGAATCAATTAAATATTTACGAGTTACTACATGAATTGGGATTTACAATTAAGAAATGCATTAAACGAAATACGTTACTGAGTATTCCGCAGTAATGATCCTGGAGAATAATATATAGTAAAACAAGAAACTACTTTTCCAAGAAACAGAAATATTGGATATTCGAGAGCTTCATTGTTTGGAAATTTTATAGAGGAAGAATTAAGCTGCAACAGAGAATAAAAAATTATCCAACAACAAGGAATATTAACCATGAATTTAATTTCGTATCAAAAACCGTTTTACAACGCTCTGTAGAATTATTTCGCACCAAGAGTATACAATTCTTTATGTTTAAGTACATAAAGTATACAAAAATTATAGTCTAAAGTGTAATAAAGTAATTAACTTAAATTATGTTAGTCAGAGAATTTGTGACAATTAAGAAACGTAATTTTATTATTGTATTTGTATTATTATATTAGTATTAAAAAAAATGTTAACGAATGATGAACAAACGAACATCGGAAAATCGACAATACATTCCTCAACTTAAATTATAATTCTTCTTCTTCATCTATTTGAAATTAAGCTCATTATGCATAACGATATACGCAATTTTAAAAAATAAAAACTAAATAGGACTTTTGTCCCAAATTTGCGTGACATTTTTTTAATCTTAGCGGCACCTATAAATTTTATATGCATATTTTAATCCTATGTTAAAGGGGCTCAAATTATAACCGAAGTCTAATGATAATAATGGAGTAGACGCTTCGGCAGAAATGAACTTTATTCATATGTAAAATATTTAACCCGAATGAGAAACCATTACGTAACAAAAACACTCGGTACTGATTTTATAAAATTGATGTTTAAAATAGAAAGTTATGCTAAATCTGTGTAAAACACACTCATGTAACCTTCATTTGCTATTGCATGTGATTTTTTTAAAAGAGTAACAGTATCGTTTAAAGAGAATGTTGAAATTGGTACAAAGGTTCTATCTGATTCAATATACAGTAGTTTATGAGTATAAGAAGTTTATGCGAGTTCACGATACCTTTTAAGAAAATCCTGTTATTTATTTCGCAAATATCCGCAGCTTGTACATCTCTTAATTCACAAAATCTCGCCCCCCATTTCCCTCTCAATCGTCAAAAACAATAGCAACAAATAATGGAATGGTGTAAAATTTATCAGACTTATTGTTCGATTAACATAAATTAAGATACACAGCACCACGTTTTACTCAGTACAACTGGTGATTTAGAAAATTATCACTTAATAGGAAATTTATGCGAATACTGCGTAAATACAAAATTTTAAAATTACATAACAGTTGCCGCGAGGAGAAAATTATATTATTAACAAAGACCGCTTTTGGGTGTGGAAATTATTCTACGTAATGCAAAATTATTTACTCCTGGGTGGGGGTTCAATAAATCATGTCGTCTACACGAAATCTGATTTTATTAAAATAAAAATTTGGAAAACAAGTCACAAATACTTTAAGATATGTAACAATAATAGAATTTTAGTTTTAAATTTAATCCACTTCCTAAAAATAAAAAATATTCAATATGTAACATTAAATATGATCGAGTGATATCCTAAACTGAAGGAAAATGCCATATTTTCAAAAATTTTGTCCGATTAAAAAAGGACGAATGACTGCTGACCTTTATCCCAGTAATACGATTACTTTTTTGTACCAAAAGCCTAATACATTTGGCACATCAAATGTGAGAACAAAAAGAAGAACTGGTTGCGTATACTTGACAGCTGTCAGTGGGGCCTGATATATGCGATAGTAAATGCTGGCCTGTCAGTGGATTATGGATAAGTGAATGTCATAACCCATATGGTTAAATATACCGGGTGTATTAAAATATAAAAAAATCAGTTTTGGACTTTAGACAACCAATTATATATAAACCATTGTTGTGACATTATTAAAGATTTGGATTCTTTGCAAATGCCAGATGGTAGAATGGTGCAATTTCGTAATATCGCTTCACTTTAAGAAAGGAATTTAAAGTTCACGAAATCGATAATAACAATATGCGTACAATGTACAAATCCATCAAAATTGACAAACTGTTGATTTAAAAATACAGAAAACTTCTTAATGAACATACCAATCTTTTCTGTGATATACAGAGTGATTTACGTGTGCTAAAATAGTTCGTTTAAACTCGTAAAACAATGTGTAGCACCAGAAT